TGTAAGAAACACAATTAAAACTCAAGTAGCAACAACTGGACAACAACAACACAAAATCAAGTTCACTGTCTACTTTGTTACTGTCTTAATTTGCTGTTCATCCCTCAGTTAAGCAGCTATATCCGGGATGGCAAATGTATGGCACGCATGTGCTGGCAAACTGAGTTCAGCCTTTTTAAAAGCCATTTTTCACACTCCCCAGGCTCCAGAGGCTTTATAGGAACCAGGGGAGGACGAAAACAGCGTCCCCCGGCCCCTCCGGAGGCTTCAGGAGCTTCCCTGAAGCCTCTGGAGCGCAAAAAACTGGCCTTACGGGCAAACCAGAAGTTTGGGAACGGACTTCCGGTTTGCTCATAGGGTCGGTTTTTGTCCTCCGGAGCCTTCAGGGAAGCCTCCGGAAGGCCCCTGCAGACTCCGGAGGCCTTAAACAGGCCCTACAAGCAAACCGGAAGTCCGTTCCCAAACTTCTGGTTTGCCCATAAGGCCAGTTTTTTGCGCTCCAGAGGCTTCAGGGAAGCTCCTGAAGCCTCCGGAGGGGCCGGGGGACGCTGTTTTCGTCCTCCCCTGGTTCCTATAAAGCCTCTGGAGCCTGGGCATGGTGAAAAAAGCATGCCAAAAATGGGGAGCTCTGGTCATGTGCGCATGTGTACTGGGATCATGCGCAAAGAGTTATGAGTGTGGCATGCCCATGCACACGCCCCCTGTGCTCCCCCCGCTTTTGGCACGCAAGCCAAAAAAAATTATCTGTCGTGTCCTCGGACATATGACCGGCGGCTGCCAAAGGACACAGGAGGAGCCCTGATTGGTTTATATGCACCTGCCAGCCAGCAGGAAAAATGCAGTCTTCCCATTGGTTCCCCGTCTGACAGCTCCTATATAAATAGCTGTCAGACGGGGTTTGTTCCTTTGTTCAGTTCTACTTACGTTAATGTTAATAAACAATTCTGCTGCAATCAGTTGCCTCCTCAGTTATTGAATATGCCGGTAATGGCTATAAAACTGGCGACGAGAGAGTTTTCATCGAACCCTCACACTCTTTCCGCTATGGCCACCAGTACTGTTTTTGCCGAATTCCGCCCTGGGTTTCCTTGAGTCTTTCGAATGTTTTCTTCAGGTTCACAATCTAACCAGGCTCTCCCTTGACAGAAAATGAGGAGTTTTTCTCAATTGCTGTGAATCCGACATGTTTGCAATGGCTCGGGCTTTGGCCACGCTGACCCTGGTACACACAATGCCCTGGGACCCATTGCTAACTAAACTTAAGGTTCATTATGCGCCTATGCCCTCCTGTTTCGCTCGTCGGCAGCTGTTTAGCAAATGTACTCAGGCTGAGGGGCTCATTGCCTCCCTCAGAGCTGCCGCTATCCAGTACGAGTTCAGGGACTTGGACGAGGCACTC